AAGCAACATTCAAGTCAGAAAAGGCAAAGGCGGACAAGGCTATGAAGAATCGCGAGTTTCAAATTGCCCGTATCCACGCCGCCTCTGCCGTACGAGAGAAACGAAGACAAGTAACCCTGAGAGCCGAGGCTGCACGGGCGGACGTCATAATAAATGAACTTAAAGCCGCTCAGAGTACTCGCGATACATCCCGAACCCTTGCTCTGGCATCAAGAGGCCTGGATGCGGCGTCGAAGAGTGTCAATCTTGAAAACCTGGTGTCTCATGCAAATAACTTCTTAGCGCGATCGGAAGATTTCAAAATCGCTAGCAGTGCGATAGAGGATGTTGCTCAAGGCATCTCTATGCAAGAGTATGGTGCAGAGGGCGAGGCTGAAGTTGATCGTCTCATGGAACAGCTTGCGGACGAGGCGGGTGTGGACATGCGCTTAGCTTTGGATGCTGATGCAGCTCCCAAAGAAGATGTCAAAGAGCAGAAGCAGGCCGACTCGGAGCTGGAGGACGGCTTGGGAGCGAGACTACGTGCTCTCAGAGCTGCAAGCTGAAACAAATGCTTGTCTTCCTTTTGTTTCCTTCCAGCGCACCGTTGACAGCTGTCTGATTGCTTTACATGATACATACGACGACCGAACTTGCCGTCCGCTTGTAGCATCTGTCAGACTCGATTTGCCTGTTTCCTTCCGATCGATATTGACGAAGTTATGCCCCCTAGTTTTGATTCTCCGTCATTCTCGCTCTATATATGTCCTGCATTCTGTCATAGTCTCATGTTCCAACTTCTTCTGGGGACCATCTTGTTTGGCGTAGGCTTCGGTGATACTGAATATTGGTTTCGATTTCCCGCTAGTATTTCTTATGTCGTCGCCAAACTCTAGCTTTCACATCTTATCCTGCCTCTACTTCGTTTTCCTAATGTCTCCTGGCATACAACCCGGTTGCATGGAACTAGCAAGACCTTAACTCTCCTTATAGGACGTTCAAGAATGTAGGCTGACCTGAAAATAACATCAGCACGCCCAAAGCCCATGCCTCTTGTTGTACAGCTAGCACTCAAATCACTGTTCAGATTTAGGATTTTTCTGTGCTTAAGGCCTAAAGCGAGTAGCCCAGGACTACTGATGCGCTAGAGCACTAGATAGATTCTACTCGCATCAAAATGAAAGTGGCGCTTATTGTCTCATTCAAAAGACTCGCATTGGCACGACCCGACCAGCGCCTGCGTCTCTCTATTTGGAGAGTACTGAGCAAATATTTCGACCGGAAGAAAGGGAAAAGTACTCACTCCAGTGTCACCAAAAAATCAACAAAATTACGGAGTCATGGCTGCCTCCCAGAGTCTGCATGAGCACATTGTCTGGCACAAGGTACGTTCTAGGTATTTTCTGCCTTAGTACGCGGTATCGAGTATATCCGTAAGCCGTGAGGTAAGAGATTATCCATTTTCTAATTCTCCTTACTTAAATGAGATAAGGATAATAATAAATACCTATTTATTAACAGAATTGGCCAAGCAGAGCCACTGAGACTCTTAAGTCGCTTAAGAGAGCCGGTGTGTCTAGGCCCTTTCTAGGTCCCTTTTCTTCGCGGTGCAACCTCGCTAAAATTGCTAGTACCTATTTGATCCCTAGCGCAGGGCGTTAAACTACGGTTACCTCCTAGACCCTCCTCACTAATTATATACCTGGTTAGACTGCTTGGTGGTACCTGTCTAGTTGAGGCACCATCACACCTCCCAAGTCCTCTTCCTGATTTTCTCAGAACTTTCTCTAGTCGAGTTTCAAGAAATCTCGCTAGTCGGCCACTCGCTGACTGGCCGAACGAGGCAGAAAATGAGCTAACTACACCCCGTGATCAGCCCGGTCTTTTCATCTTGGCCCCCTATGTCGAAGTCCGTCCAATTACCACGCCGATAAGGTATGCTAGTTTTGACCATGGCCACCCACAGAGGCATAGACCGACCGGCCTATGCCACAGAGAGCTAGGAACTCCGTGAGTCCGTAGACACGGACCCGTTAGCAAAAGGCGAGAGCCTCAATCCGTTGAACCATTTGTTTAGGCAGTGCTCCTCGGTGGCGCAATGTGTTTTATCCTTTGAAAAAACATGAGAAGGGTGACTTTTCCTTGATCAGATTTTTTATCCTTCTGTTCGACTCTTTTATTGAGTCCCGTTCCCTCGTTTGACCATCTGGGGAGCCCAGTTCCCAGTACAGCCAAGATAATGGCACCTTCACACTCGTTTCCACTTGCATTTCTGTTCCTCATTTTGCATCAAACTTCTTGCGCCTTCGCTGCCCCCTGGATAGTCACCAAAGTGTATGAGCAAGATGTCACCACCTATGACTACAGGACCACAACATGGACTCGCATTAATGAAATCACGCCGACAGCATCACCGATGCCTGCTGCCCTTTCAACAACAACGCATATAACTAGCGACAGTTATGACGATGCTGTCACAGTTGTTCAAGTGCTGTATCCATCTGGTGCAGGGATCCAGTCGACCTACAAGAACTACAATTACCGTGACTCAAATATCATCACGCAGTACTATGTGAACATGGTATACACGGCGCCAACGTCCTGCTCTTCGCAGTGGACCCTGACCACTGCGGTTCCGGTCTATGTTCCTAACGCTATTGAAGACGCTTTGCTTGCGACGTCCATGTCAACGAGCTACTCCGTGGACGATAGCCGACCCTTTCAACCAACCACATACACCAAAGCTCTTGCATTCATTGATCCTACACAAGTGCCGGTATCCAGCCTGAGCAGCCTCAGAAACTCCTACAAGCCCTACACCATGTACCGAGAGTACGGGTGCTATGACAGCAGCTCCAATAGCGGTAGCAGCTCCAATAGCGGTAGTAGCTCCAATAGCGGTAGTAGCTACTCGTACTCTGATGGTAGTGACGGCGGCAACTGGCTCTATGACAGCTCTTATTACGGGGGTATCTCCCCCCTTGGTATTCTGCTTATCAGCCTTCTGGGATGGTTCGGAGTATGGCTCATCATCGGCCTCATCGAGAATTGGTTTCAGTTTCGACGCTTGATGAGGGGTTGGCAGGCTCGCCGAGGATTCCCAATTTCTTGGTGCATGCTCGCTCCTATCGTCTCCTGTCTGCTCCTTCTGTTCTGCCGCAAAGGCTTTCAGGCTCGTACTTCCGAGGAGGCGCAGGTGCTTAAAGAAAAATGGGAGCAAATGGGATTCTGGAGGAAAGTCGGCCTGTGGCTTCGGTGGGGTTTCGGATTCAGTTATCCACCCATGCTGGGTCCTGCTCCAGTCAAGGTTGGAAGGCCGTCCAAGCGGCCTGTTGCTGCCACCGCTCCTCTGCTTAGCGTATCCCCGCCACGGAGTGTCATGTCAGATATCCACTCAGATTCGGGAAGCAATCGCGGAGACAGTGCCGCCCCTGGTCCAGCAATGGCCTATATTCCGCCGTCAGGCCAGACGCTGCAAGTTCCAGCTTCAGTACCGCCAAACAGACAAGTCCGACAACAGGAGGCCTCCACTGAGCCCATACTTGAAAATCCTTCAACGACTAGCGGGGCTCTTCCCGCTGATCATAATGTACATGCGACAGAACCGTCCAGTGCGCCTCGGGCATCATAGTCTGACATGTGTGACATGCTGTATATTTTCTGGATGGGAAGTGAACGACGAATCTTCTGCTATCTGACAACCATGTTTGGCGAGCTAGACACATGACCCCTGGATCAATACTCACTCTCACCTTCCTTACTGGCGTCTAAAATATAAATATCCCCCTGTCAGGCTGCGACGGTCATTAGGATGTCACGTACAACGATATGTAATATATAATAATATAAGTGAATAGCTGAGGATGCTGAGGAATACTCTCTTTCCAGATTAGAAAGCGAGGTCAGTGGGAAGTATTACATTATTTCACAGGTGACCTATATAAAGAGAAAGGCTCGAAATCGGTTTATGTACGTCCTGTCAACGAAACTAGATGATTTTCTGGCTGTAGGCTCTGTTAAACTTAGATTCCCCATCATAGGAGGTTTTTCCAACATCCAATCACAGGGCCGGCTGGCCTAATGGTAAGGCGCTTGACTTCGGATCAAGAGATTGCAGGTTCGATCCCTGCGTCGGTCATATTTCTTTTTTTACTGCCCATCTTGTACTGTTTTATTGACTGTACACGGCCGACCACTGTTGAGAGTATATTGACGCACTCTAGGAATTATTCATGAGATGGATTAAATATGGCAATGGCTGTTACTCTGCGTCTTAGAATTCGAAATCTCCATAGGACAAGTTATTATTAGTTGAGATATAGAGCCGGGCTAGCTCAATCGGTAGAGCGTGAGACTCTTAATCTCAAGGTTGCGGGTTCGACCCCCGCGTTCGGCTTCTTTTTTTTTTTTTTCTGCGCTCTATTTACTTGTGGTGCTCTGACGCAGATATAACACTTTTTGTTATTGCACGTAATTCATCTTGCACTACATTGCTCGACTCTCAGCGTGGCTTTTCTGACTGGGCTTTTTTGTGGACGCCGGAAAATCCAGGTACCGTTAGACTATATGATTTCCTAATGGAAATTATGATGACTGACAACTTTCAGCAATAACAACTCATGTGATTACATCCTATATCCTAGGACACGCGCTGTTTATGAAGGTGGACAAGCACTTGGAACCCCCTTGACAGACTGCACCATCGCTTGGTAATAAGTCTTTGGAGTTTGGGAATTTGCTTGAAATGGTCTGAAACAAAGAATCGTGCCCAAGAGGTAAGATGATGGACGGCACAGTCGATCCATCACAGTCAAACAGAGCGCCGCATGGACGACAGGCCGCATGTTTGAATTGCCGAAGAAGCAAAATACGATGCAAGCGCAGCCGCGGGGATATCTGCTGTGACAGATGCAAACAAGCAAATCTGGAATGTATCGTACCCAGTCACCATCTTGGTAGACAAAAGGGTGTCAAGAAGTCAGAGTCACCGGACCATATCCCTATTTCTATTACAATCATAAATGCTTACTTCTGCTTGTAGCAAACGCAAAGGACTGGAAAAAGCGTTACACCAAATAGAGGAGGCTATCAAACGCCCCAAGTCTGATGCAGGATCTGATGCTGCTGAAAAACTTATTTCAGACCTGCAGGATCTCCTTAGCAGGGCACAAGGGCATTCTGCACGGAGTGAGGTCGAGGAAATATCAGATGACCCTGACCGGTCACATAGGAGATCTCCTCCGCAAGGTGCCACTGCTGGGGACAATCTAGCCTTGGATGACGCAGAGAATCCATTGCAACTTCTCGCCAGAGCCTCTGACCTCCAATTTTCGCCCGCCGAATGCCGTGACGCACTCAGATTGTCCACTCCATCTGTATCACAATCGTCTCTCAGACCGCATAGTAGCCCCAACGAGGGCTTGCCAATTGCCAGATCTTTTTTCGTCCCAGTCAGGGCGAACCTAGACCTCGGCTCGGACATGGACCCTATCGAACTGGGCTTGACTACTTTGCATGAGGCAGAACTACTTTTTTCTTTGTAAGTCAACCTATTAGACTGTAATCTTGTCGGTGAACTGACCAAGTCGACAATAGCTTCTACGAGAATTTGGCCCACACGAGGTGGGGCCTGGATCCGACAGTGCATACTGTGTCATTCGTACGCTCGCAGTCGGCCTTTCTTTTCACTTCAATGCTGGCTGCAGCTGCCAGGTTTCACCCTTCTGCAGCCGCCTTATCCAAAAGACTAACGAGGCACTGTACGTCACTGGCTTATAAGGTCATTGCTCAGCGTTATCGATCAGTGGAAATTGTTTTGGCCTTCATGGTAAACGTTCCATGGATGGCCCCAGGGAGCAGTTCTGGAGATGATGACACATGCTCCTATATTGCAATGGCTTTGACTGTTGCGTTGGACCTCTCTCTCAACAAGATAGTGACACCCCCAACTGGGTTTGATAGTGCTCTCCAGGACAGGCTTGCGAAGACTGATTGCATTGATGCAAAGAGAGCCTTGCACATGGATGGATTCGAAGCTGTTGATCCGGCTTCAGAATGGGGCCGCAGATTGTTACGTAGACGCGAGAGGACTTGGATCGCGTTATTCGTCCTCGAGCGTGGGTAGGTGCTGAAGCTCATAGTCGAAGATATGCATACGGCGAGTTCGGCTAATCCGTATATTGCAGTGTCTGTTTGGCCCGCGGACGAAGCTATACAGTTCCCCCGACTGCTCTCATTGAGAATTGTGACAGATGGCATATCTCTGATATTGCCGATTCTCGGGATGGGCCGATGAACTCCATGGCAGTTCTCCGGAGGAATCTAGTAAGACAACCCTTGAAATGTCTTCGTTGTGCTTGGCTGCTTGCAGACAGCTAATATCAGCACACGGCAGGATGAACTTCTGAAAAAAGTAAAATTGCGTTGCGACAGTTGCCGACTTGGGGACATCGGCTCTGAAGCTGCTCAATCGTACGGTCACTCCTGTCGACTTTTTCTGGCTCTCGAAGAAGACTCACTCGCCTCTAGGATCAAGAAACTTATTGAAGACTTCTATGATCAATGGTACGCTGCTTGGGCTCTTGAGATTGGTGGACCCTGTAAGTTTATTTATAAACCTTGTCTGGATCAGTTTCACATAGCAATTCCGTGCTAATATAACATGGAAAAGCCCTCTGCCTTCCGCCGTATGTCGAGATATTGGTAACACACACGCAACTGTCTACATATGGTGGTGTGATCAATCATCCCACTGCACCACTCGAAGTCAAGCGGTTTTTCCGCGCCGCTGGCCTCTCTTCTGCATTGAATGTCATGCGGGCAGCTATTCAAGGAGAGTCGCGGCTAAAGTCCATGCCCAACAATACGGTGATCATGATCGCCTTCGCTGCATGCTCTGCCCTTAGCCTCAGTGTGACGCCCGTGGACAGCAGGTCCAACTTGGCACCAAGCGTGCGACATTTGATTGAGGAAACGGCTGATGTTCTCGAACGGATTGGGGCCATCCCAGCTCACAGAGAGGGTGCATCTGTCTTGTACGGACGGCTGCTACGAGAGCTTGTTAGACGTGCTCATATGGGCCTTGTTTCTCAAAAACATACCGAATCAGACCTGGTAGAGCCCTTACAGCCCTCCACTACATTGAGCGATTACTGCCCCATACCTTCAGTGACACAACCATCAATGGATCACTCTACGCTATGGCCAGAGACGCTGCAATTCTCCGCGATGTCTGATCACCAAATTATCGATGCAGTGAACAGGGCTGACTCGGCATTCGGCATGAATATTCCTGACGTCCCACTGGATGATCTGATGAACTGGGATTGGTTCGACTTCGCCAATGCAGCCGACCTGGGTTTCGACCAATAACACCAACATTGCAATCCACAGTAATACTCCGTACTTAGATTATCCTGCGCGCTGCAATAATGTTGAGCGTGATTGAGAAGTTGTGGGTCTCGACCTCCTGTCGGTGCCCAGAAGTAGCTCCGATTGCCGAACGGTGCGTCACTTTTCGATTTACATATGAGACACCTTAGTGCTCTCTCGATGCAGAGAATGTTTATTAGAAGATCTCAATCCGCTTTAACCCGATATAAGTGATTCGCAGCCCTGTTTTTCTATTCTGTGTGGCATACTTAGCTTGGTGCTGACGAGGAATGGCGACTTTGCGGGGTTCAGCAATCGTATCTTCAATGCGGAGAACACATACTGTTACCCGTCAATGGTTTCAGGGAGGGACATGCTATATAGCACGTGGGGGACCTGTTCTTCGAACAACAAACATTTGCCATGTACGATATTCAACTGCTACTTCGCAGCAACAGACACCTGAGCCCAAGATTGAGCGTGCCGCTTCAAAATTATTCAGAGATGCAGATGAGGCTGTCGCTGACCTCAAAAGCGGATCTACAATCCTGAGCTCTGGATTTGGCCTTTGCGGTGTCGCAGGTATATATCTCTCTCCCCAGCAAGAAGATGGGTTCAACAATCATTGACATTACTCAGATACGCTTATATCGGCGATTAATCGTAGAGGAGTTGAAAATCTGCATTCCMTCACAGCAGTTTCGAACAACGCTGGCGCTCCTGGAAGAGGAGGACTTTCTACGCTTACTCAAGCTGGACAAGTAGATCGGTTGATCCTATCCTATCTGGGTAACAACAAGGCTTTGGAGAAGAAGTATTTGACGGGGAAGATTGCTATTGAGCTATGTCCCCAAGGAACATTAGCCGAGCGATTACGTGCCGGAGGAGCTGGGATTCCGGCATTCTTCACTCCTACTGGGGCGCGTAAGTTTTTCTCTGTCGAAAGTCTCCATACGTTGCATGTAAAGGCCTGACTTTACTTTATTTCGCAGACACATTACTCCAAGCGGGAGAAATACCCGTCCGGCTAGATGAGTCTGGGAAAGTATTGGAGCGTGGCACACCACGAGAGACGAGGATATTCAATGGCAAAACTTATTTGATGGAGACAGCCCTCACTGGTGACGTGGCTATCCTTCGTGCTTGGAAAGCAGATGAGGCAGGAAACTGTGTTTTCAGGTAAGTTTGTTGTCTGCTCATGCATCAGTCGACTTGTTGAACATTGGAACTTCCTCCAGGTATACAACGAAGGCATTTGGTCCGATCATGGCGAAAGCTGCCACTCTTACTATCGTGGAGGCGGAAAACATCGTTCCTGTCGGTTCCATTGACCCTAATGATGTCGACCTGCCCGGCATCTTTGTGGATAGAGTTGTTCCTGCCACGGCAGAGAAGCACATCGAAATCAAGAAATTACGGACTCCCGAAAATGAGGATGCGGGTAAGTTCTCGAGCGATCCTGCCATCGTTCGGAGAAACCGCATTGCCCGGAGAGCTGCGAAGGAGCTAAAGCAAGGATATTACGTTAATCTTGGCGTTGGTAAGTACGTTAGGCTTCTCGAGTCCCTCAAGCGCTGACACTCGTCTAGGAATTCCCACGCTGGCTCCGTCATTTTTACCGGAAGGTGTGAAAGTTTGGGTGCAGTCGGAAAATGGTATTCTCGGCATGGTGAGGTAGCCTTCAGACTTGGCCAAACACCATCAACTAATGGTTATGACTAGGGACCGTATCCCACTGAAGACGAAGTTGACCCGTAAGTTCAGTCCATTGGACATCGTGTATGCGTGAATTAACCAGCTTGCAGGGACATCATCAACGCTGGGAAAGAGACCGTCACCCTCATGCCAGGCGCAGCTACGTTCGATAGCACTGAATCGTTCGGCATGATTCGAGGCGGACATGTTGATGTATCCATCCTCGGGGTGAGTGAGGAAGAGTATGCTTGTGAAGGGATAGAGTACACGGGCTAATGATAAGCAGGCCCTGCAGGTGAGCGCCAACGGCGATCTAGCGAACTACATGATTCCCGGAAAGGTCTTCAAGGGAATGGGAGGAGCTATGGACTTGATCTCCAATCCAGACCAAACCAAGATCGTTGTCGCTACCAGCCATACTGCCAAGGACGGATCACCCAAAGTCGTCGCCGAATGTAGCCTGCCTTTGACAGGCGCTAAATGCGTCAGTACGATCATCACGGAACTAGTAAGTCTATTGACCCTTATACAACATCAGTCTCTATAGGCCGACTGACCGCGGCTGTTTAGTGCGTTTTCCAGGTTAATCGAAGTAAAGGGGAGCTTCTGCTGACGGAGCTCGCCCCAGGGGTAGAAGTTGAGGAAGTTCGAAACAAAACAGGGGCGAATTTTGCTATTGCAGAGCAATTGGGGATCATGGAATGAAATCGCTCAATCCCGACATTGGCAAATGCGCACGTGATCGATGCTGGCCGCCATGTGAATAACACTTCGTGTAGACATCATGTAGAATATTATCATGAACCATTTTCTAGATCCTTGAACAAGGAAGCGGGTGTAGTCACCATTTCATCCTCCGGTAAGACTTCGACAGGGTGACGTGATTTGAACGGTATACACAAGGCCGATTCCGAGGAATTGAGTAGCGGCCTTTGTATGTAGTCAATGCGAGCGAAGATGTCTCTATATACATATATACACCAAGGGTCATCCAAGTCTATCCACAAACAACATCATTGACACAGGGCATCTAATCACAGCTTAGAGACTCTGAGCGGCGCAAAATTTGACCCGGCGCCCTCGCTGATCGATTGAACAATATCATCCACGCTGGCCAGTATCCATGTATTACCCTCATCACTTGCCAGCCACCGGGCACCTTGCTCATTTTCAACATCGTGTGCCCACGATCCATCCTCGATTGCCTTTCGCAGACCAAACACATGCGATGTCACTTGCGGTCCCACACCAGACTGTGCACGCAAGCATGAAATCGCAACAATAGACGTCACGATGCGGCCAGCATTCGCGCCGGTAGTCCGCCCAGCGGGATCCGACAATAGGGCACCGTAGTGGCTGTTCAGAATGTGAACGGGCAGATCAGGATGCGAATCCGCCAATTTGTTGATAAGCTTGGTCTCAAAGGGCCGGTAGATGGAGTCCCACAAGACTCGGCCGCGCCTACCAATCTCATTGATATTCGCGGGGTCTGGGGCTCGAGTCGGAGTACGTGATAGTTTCTTGCTGACGGGTTCGGGCAAGCTCGCTTTGAAAGCATTGAGGCAGTTGATCGTCCGCGGAATGCCGTTGAAACTGATGCATTTCAGCCCCACCTCCCGCATCAGCTCTGCTGTGGCTACGCTTTCCTCCTCTGTTTGAGCCGATGCAGCTAATTGAAACAAGATCGCGAGGGAATCGGGAGAATTCATGGTCATCGTGGCGGCTGTCTGTTGGTCGAAGATAAAAGGATCAGTCAAAGCTACTTCAGGACAATTCGCTGAGGGGTTTCATGCGGGGCGAGTGAGGAAGGGTTAACGAACCGACAAAGCCAGCCATGACGATGAGGAAACATTGTTTGCTAGAGCGCTCTGCTGAATCTTTTGGTACACGGAGCGTATATTGCGAGGGGCAGGGACAGTATTTGGCCGCGCACCCGGGGCGTTGATCAGAGCCTTGAGGCTGCTGGATAGTTTTGACATATCCTCTCAATCTCTTCAATCAGCACCAATGAAGTAGAGTATTTTCGCACAATTGAAGGTAATGAGAGATTCCGGTCTTATGAGCGAGGAATGCTCCTAGACATGCCATGATCTTGACATCGGCCATTTACCCGACCAAGATGTTGATGATCGATGCCTCGGCGCCAAAACTGGACTCCGGGCGGCGTCGGTTGAGTCCGGCAATGCCAGCGGGATAATACGTAATTACAGGCTGTAATTTACCACGTTACAGTCACGTGATGACTCCAGAGCGAATCAGTGTATTCCCGAGACATTAAGGCCAAGCTTTCCAGGCCAAAACTAAGCAACCCGGATTTTCATGGGCTGGGGCAGAAAATGCGGGGATACAAACGGACAGCACTAATTCAGTTATACTTTTGGTATCTTCCCATCGGCTGCAGAAATGATGGCCGAAATTGGAGTACTCCTCAAGTCTTTCTGCCAATCTTCTTTCGTATACTTAACTCGACCCCCCTGCTACGATATGCTGTTCTGATGATCTTGATTGCTTTCATTCTCATGTTCTCTCCAGTTTGTCCGTACATATAGTCATGGATACGATGAAGCCTAGCCATGAGACATTGGAAGATGTTAAACATAATTCATTAGATAACATGGCTTTCGATGATGCCTACCAACAGAAGCTGACTCGAAGTATTCTTTTCAAGCTGGACACGAGGTTGGTCCGCATCCGACGTCTATGGTTATTAGATAGCTAAAATATTCCCCGATAGGATTCTTCCCGTTCTGGCTCTTCTTTTTCTATGTTCATTTCTTGACAGGTAAGGAAACAGAATATCTTTTCAATTAGTACCAGATTGAATATTGATCCAAAGGCTTCTTTCAGGACGAACGTTGGAAACGCAAAGATTCTTGGTCTCCAAAATGATCTAAACATCACTGGCCATCAGTATGACATAGGCCTTACGGTCTTCTATCTCACATATATCTGCAGGTGAGCGTCAATGACTGAAGGTTTCTGACCGTGTTGCTGAGCGTGTGCCGGTAGCGAGCTTCCGAGCAATCTGATAATCAAGAAGGCGTCACCGAAGATCTGGTTACCTACTCTCACAATGGTCTGGGGAATTATCACCATGTGCCTAGGCTTCGTGCGTAATTTTGCGGGCTTTGTCGCCGTTCGCGCCATACTCGGAGTAGCAGAGGGAGGACTGTTACCTGGCATGGTATGTAGCTTGTCCCAGGCCCTTCTCTCCCATACCGGCTGGTAGTGTTCCAATGACCGAGACTAAGACTCCATCAGGTACTCTACCTGTCTTTCTTCTATAAACGTTCTGACTTAGCCCTTCGCATCGGCCTATTCTACACGGCGGCATCATTATCAGGGGCTTTTGGAGGTAAAAACTTAGCCTCCTTCCGGGTAATCCTTTCAGGACTGGTGATTGCTGACGTGAAGTACCTGATTCTTGATAATAGGGCTCTTGGCTCGAGGATTGGCAGCAATTGGACCACGAGGCGGTCTTGAAGGTTGGCGTTGGATTATGATCATTGAGGGTCTATTGGTAAGTCAACTTCGAACATAATTTCCGTTCTATTTCTGATGCCTTCTAGACTTTCGCATGCGGMGCTTTCAGTTACCTCTGTCTTCCCAACAATATAGAGACGGCAACTTTCCTGACAGTCGAAGAACGAAAATTCGCCTGTGAGAGAATGCGACTGGATAATCCATCTGTGCCAGAAGGGTATGTTGACGCTTTTGCCAATTTTTCAACCCAGAAGCGCAAGTCCTACTGATATCAACTTCAAATTCAATTTGTGCTGACATCGCCCAACAGAACCCTTGAGGCTGAACAGGAGGCCTTTAGGTGGTCCGAGGTTGTCCGAGGTGTACTGGACTTGAGAATGTGGCTGTCAGCAACAGCGTACTTTGCTATCTTGTCCGGGTTATACTCTTTTGGTCTTTTTGTCAGTCAACTCTTGACGGCCACCAAACAGATATCTTTGCTCATGAGAGAAATCTAGCTACCTACCATCATTAAGGAAAGCGGCTTTGCGAACGATGCGAACAAGGTGCAGCTTTGGACTGTTATTCCGTACGCTGTCGCGGCTGTAATCACAGGTGGGCTCTTTGATCGCCAATCAATTCAGGTTCCCTTAGTTGCTGACCGCATGCCTTCTTTGGTCCAGTCGTTGTGGCTCTCGTCTCAGACCGGCTGCAGCTTCGCGGTGTTATCATGCTGTTTACCCTGCCGATTGCAATTGCAGGTTACGGAGCAATTGCCAACATCGAGTCCGCCAAAGTCAAGTATGGGATGACCTTCCTCATGGCCACGGGCATGTACAGCAGCGTCCCATGTATCCTCGTTTGGAATTCCAACAACTCCGCTGGGCATTACAAAAGGGCCACTACGTCGGCAATGCAGTTGGCAATAGCAAACTGTGGAGGGTTTGTTGCCAGTAAGTCTTCGGCTCCTCTTTCCCTGCTCTTGTTTGCTGAAGTTAAGTTCCTGGACTGACATGTGCGTTTTCTATCAGCATTCAACTATCCTGACAAGGATAAGCCAGGTTACCATCGAGGTCACACAGTAGTTCTCGGCCTGCTCATATTCGCATGGGTCATGTAAGTGCAACAGCTCTGCCTATATCGATTCATAGCAGCCCAACTGATCTTGTATTCAGGATCCTATTGAATGTCTTATACTGCGCTAAAATCAACAGAGACAAGGCGCACGGCAAATATGCACAGTATATAGGATGTAACGATGATAGGGATCCACAATTCAAGATGGTTCTGTGAAGGAAGTCTATGCCAGCATACTGTATTTAATGATGATAAGATTTGCAATAATCACAGCTCATCCTGGGCAGATAACCTCTTCACACATGAAATATGAAGATGTGATGTGACAAAGAGAATTTTGGCAGGATGTTGTTGTCAACACTATGATCCTAGGCATTTCCAGTTTTCCAAGAGTTCTCATCTGTACAACCAAAAAGAAAATGCATTGCGGAGGACGATCTGAGATACCACATGTATCTGCCTAGCTACGTGTTGTAATTCGCAAGGAACAGTCGGAATTGGGCTTCATGTTCGCAATCAGACATCTAAGCGCTCTCTCCGGGCTGATTCGAAGCCATCCTTTGCGCACGCTCTCTCCCCGCAAAGCTTATCAGCATACCGATATCGTAGATTGCTTTCAGGATACCAGCAAGTGTGAAGGAAGCACCGAAAAGATCATGATTGGCCAAAACGCCGGTGATGAGGGGCCCTAAGCTCTGACTGCAAGTCTTGACGACGTTGATGGCGCCCATGATAGCAGTGCGCTTTTCGGGCGGAAGAGCAGCGGCCAAGAAGGCACTGCGTGGTGCAACATCCATGCTCTGTGAACAGGCACGGAGGACCAAGAAGGTCAAGGCTGCCGGCAGGGCGGAGGGAACCGGGATGAGCGCCAGACAGATGGCAGATGGCAGATGGGTGAAGACCATGGTCTGTGATATAGTCAGAAACCTGAGAGGCAATGGAAGAATGCAGTTGAAGGCGAAGAGCGAACCTTGACGTTGCCGATCCGTTTGGCTATGGAGGATGCAACCAGCATCGATCCGGCGGAGATTAGGCTTGTGGTAAAGAAGATCGAGCCTAGTTCTCCCTCGGGCAGAGAGAACTTGCGCTTGAAGAAGTATGTCATCCAGGATCTGCGAAGCACGGTCAGTTTGATATTTTTGGTAGTCTTATGGGTGTAACTAATACGCACAATGAGGCCAACCCTGAGGCGAACGAGTCCAAACCAAACAAGACGAAGAGTGTGATGACTAAAGAAACAAGATCGCTACTGCCGAGGAAAGAGAAGAGTGATTTCTTCTGGTTGTTCTCGTTATTGGCTCTTTCGCCCAGGAGAGGCTGGGTTTCCGGGCCATCGGCTGCTCGTTGTTGCTGTTGGGCGGCAGTAGCACCATTCTTGTCCTTCTTGGCGGCTTCAACCTCGTGACTGAGGCAGATGGAAAGAAGGAATTTGACTGCACCGATTCCGGCATATGCGAAAAAGACAACCTGGCATGCATGGAGATATTGCCACCCTTTGGTAGTTTGCAGGAAGTTGATGATCCACCCGCACACCATCATTCCGAGGGCGGTGCCTGCGGTGCCGATCAGAGAGTACCAGACGAAGATATCGCTCAGATGCTCTCGGGCAGTTAGATGAGCCAGAGTAGATTCCTCAACAGCTCGAAAAGGACCAATTTCATTACCACTGCGAAATCCAGAATCGTGAGCAAGATGAACAGGACATCGTTCCAGAGCCAGGTCAGCACTCACCTGGGACTGATGACGCCGAGCACTGCAGCGGCTAAGAGAATCCAGTAATTGCCGAATAGACCAAAGACAATACCACTGCAGGCCATGAGTGCAGACCCCAAAGCCAGGACTGCTCTGCGGCCCATAGCATCTGCGAAGAGAGTAAGGAAAAAGCTGATTGCGACATCGCCGACCAGAGTCAAGGTCATAAATAAGCCAATGCGGTCATCTGCGATACCCAAGGCAGACAGATATGAGGCTAATATCAGAGTTGAACCTCCATAGGCGAAGAGTCGGATGAAGCGCTGTGCACAGAGAACCTTGACGTCCAGGGAGGAATGCCATAGTGTCAGAAGGCCCAGTTCGTCAAGGACTTTTCTGTGCAGACCATTAAATCTTCCCTGAACAGAGTCTGTGGATGCCATGTGAGCGGATCGGTCATTCACTTCGTCAGAGATGGAAAGATTGAATGCCTTTCTTTCTCTCGGTCGCCAAGACGGTCGTTTTCCCCTGCCGGACAGGGGGGAAAAAGGTTAGGCAACCATCGCCGATCGTCCGCTTCCTTTTCTGGTTAAATCGGCCGAGACGGCTTTACGGAGTACACCGCGGAAACCGAAACGACAACCATCGCCTCAATAGGATATCTCTATTTTTCACATTTATCTGCATGTAGGTCTGAATGTCTGGTACTCTCCATCTTACTCATGTGTACTAAGCTTCCAGAAGATCTCAACGATGGAAGGACTTACGTCACTGAGGAATGACAGTCCGCCATACTTTGAACCAACACGGCAATGACCATGGCACCCTAACACGGCAAGGGATATAAATTGGCACAGACATAGAGACTGGTCACAATGTCTCGAATCCAAGCGGAAACCAAGATCAATATAGCCATACAGTGATATACCAGCCATGAGAGATCGTCTGATGATAACGGCCATAGCCACTATGGCTTTCACATCGGCTCAAGCATGCGACGTCGTCCCTACGGTCACACATACATTTTATGGATTCCCTGATAACGATCCTGCAGGCCCTGCAATCTCCTACGATTGTGGTCGTGGTCTCGTAGCCGGCGGGACTGGCGCTTTTGACGATCCTCTGACCTTCGCCTCGGCCCCTGGCGAGTTCACGCAGTGCGAAGTTATCTTCGCCCCGTATCTACACAAGTACATTCGGTTCGAGGATCTTTGCTCTCAATGCGCAGATGAATGGACCAACTCTAGTATCCATCACATCGATATCTGGACGGGAAGTAACGCCACCGACGGAGGCCAGGACCAGATCAACTGCGAAATGAGGCTGACCCCGACGGGCGGCTTGTCGATCGTGCGTAATCCCAGTGCGGATTTGGCTGTTGATGGTATGTTGCCACTTACATTCGCCATCTTTAGCTGTGGCTGGTAACAATGACGACTTTTAGCCACTCCGCTCTTTGTCCCTGGCGGCAATCCATCCTGCAATATTGACCATGTTTTCCCTAATGAGAGTGCCGCGAACTTTTGTTAGATGGTATCTAGAACTTTTCGCATTTGGTTTATTGCCTGCACGATTCGTGGCAAGGCTCGCTGTCGACAGGTCATAAGATGATTGTAGAATGTCATGTTTGTGTTATGCTCTAGAAGCTCAAAAAAGATTATCGTTCTACAGGTGCTGCTCAAACAGATCCCGCGCATTGATTATTCTTAGTCGTACATGGAAGGTGATCTCTACAGACAAAGCTCTAAGTGGAAATGGTATTTTGATAAAACGAAACGCTAGTCTATACTACAAAAGCCTGTAATCGAGGAACAAAGCCTGACAACGGCAGCAAATGTCCGAGTATTATAGTAGAAACGTCGTCATCACAGTGAAGGCGATGGAGCCGGTTTGTCTGATCTCGGCGGCCATTTGACACGCCTTTCGGCGCGAACGTATAGGTTGATGGGTCGAATCAGCTGGAACATGGGATCATATTCAATATGCCCGTCATTCTCCCTGGTAAACTTGTATCGGTACACCAGCTTGGGCAGGAAGACTTTGACTTCTTGCAAAGCAAAGTTGAATCCGATACACATGCGAGGACCAGTGGCGAAGGGAATATAGGCCGCCTTGTGTCTGTTCTTGACTTCCTCTGTATCCCAGCGATCAGGATCAAACCGCGCAGGATTGCTCCACACATCTGGATTATTGTGAAGGTGGTGCAGAGCGCCAATGACGACCGAGTCCTGTGGAAGCTTGTAGCCACCGGGAAGAATCAGATCTACTTTGGCGGTTCGCCCAGGCTGATATGACGGATTATGCCGGCGCTGGGTCTCCTTGATAAACTTGTCCATGAAGGTCAGGCGATCCGTCAAGTCCGCAGTGAGTTGCGTGTCAGCATCGATGCCATTGTCGATCAGCTCCTGCAGCAGCCTCTCCTGCACCCCGGGGTAGGTGACGAGTCCGTAGATAAGCCATGATAATAATGAACTAGTAGTTGTAAAGCCGGCTCCTGTTGCTACCACCAAAGCCTGCATTAGACTGGTCTTGGGCAGCTTTTCGCCCTTGTTGTCGGTGGCTCGGATAGCGTAGTCTAGAGAAATCAGTCAATGTATTCATCCAAGTTGTAAGAAGCTATTACGTACCAACCATGTTGGATGCTTTCAACGCCGCATCCTGCAGAGGAAGATCTTCAATGCCTCCGCGAGCAGCGTTTTGGATGGACTCATTGACCATATCGATGATGCGCCCTCTGGCGTTTCTCAACCGTTGCGGATCGCCGAACGGTAACTTGGCATACCAATCACCCCATGCAGTCACTTTCTTATTCAGTTCCAATGACTCCGCTATGCGATAGACAAGTTCATGTGGAGGTGCATCGATAGATGAGAAGTGTTTGAAGTCAATTCCAAGGACCAACTTGCCAACCGCCTGCGATCCAAGCTTGAGCATGTACTGATAGACGTTCCATGCTTCCTCTTTCTCATCTAGGGCGTCAAAGACATTGAACGCGTCTTCGATTGTTTCCTGCATCATGGGGGCATAATGACGCACGGCCTTGGGGCCAAGTGCTGGAGGCAGGAATTTATGTGCAGTTCTCCACTCTGGAGTATCAGTGTCGCCCAAAAAGACACCGGCTTCCTGATTCTTAATCGGATGCAGAGGGTGCGCTGCATTGATCTTCTTCGTGAAGAAGTCTGTCTCGGAGAAAATTATTGATGAGAGCTGTGGATCATTGGTATGGTATACGGTGCGACCCATGTTGGTTGTCTTGAAGATCGGCCCGTACTGTTCGAAAAGGCGCTGGTGATTGCCCAGATGGTCGGGATAGACTTCAAAGAAGTTTCCGATGAATGGAAGGCCCTTGGGACCTGGTATCTCGCGCACCGGCTTCCCATCGATTGTGATGCTGATGGTATCTTCACTTGCGGTGATTTCGGATACATCGTGCAGTATAGAATCCTGCGATAGGAATCCAATGCCTGCGAGGGTCAGATTATCTATATTGTGCTCTTGTGGGGTTCAGTTAGACCTTACCATCGGGCTCAACGATGGCGAAGTGCGCCGCAATCAGATGCCTTAGATCTTCATATGTCGTCGTTGACTCAAACTGGATCTGTTTCGCAGTGGCGATGGGCTCACCCAGAAGGTGAAAGAGCTTCGTTGTCGTCGACATGTTGTCGCAAACTGGCGTGCAGACTCCACAGCAAATTGGTTTGGGGGGATGGGATGTTGTCGGACACGAACCGAAAACTTTGACGGATGGCCATCCTCAATCATTTATAGGGGGGTTATACGACTTTGCAAGTCTATGCAAAATGGCTCGAGATAAGATGCAACTCGGATAAAAGCCGAACTAGAGCAAGAGGAACCAGAGCATAACCGCATAGTGTATCCACCACAGGGATAAGGGCTGTCTACTATGGATTCAACGGAATCGGTGTGTCCGTCTTGACTAGTCCGATGCGCTGAATTCTTCAGCGACAATTTCCCAGAAAAGGTTACTATTTCAAAGGTGCCTCGGCTTTTTGAAGCTTTGTGTAGGATTCTAAGATTAAATCCAACTCTAACTGAGTGATCGACATTGAAAGTCCCGCCACTAACCAGAGATTTCTGCTTATGCAGATGAGACATGTACAAGACAACAACACTCCGTACAATGGTGACAGACATCTGACGGGCAATTGGAATCATGCCAACGGACCAGTCTGCTTCACTTTGGCTGGGTTGAGTGGCATCAGGTTGCTAATGTTGTCCGTTTGCTATTTGGAAAATTGGAAGCGATGCACAGCCGTTCATTCAGTGAGAAGTTGTACTATGTACAATTCGGTAAACCGACCGAGGCCCAACAAGAATTTCTTTTGCAGCCTGGATTAAGCCGTGCCGAGCCAGAAACAGTCCAGCATCATTCTCAGGCTAAACCGTCCATGTTCGGGCCGATCTCAGACAAAAACCAAAGCGAGACCAAAAGTGTGCTTGTGCCGAGGTAAAGATGCCGATCTCGAGAAAACTAGTGCGGTGCGCTAGAATTGCAGGGGAAGTTGCACCGGTGGAGGTAAATGGGAGTGGAGACTAGAGATGATTATTAGGGTTTCATTTCCTACTGAATAATTAGTGGATGGATCGTTAGTACGGAGTACTCGGTATGCACTAGAATGGAGCCCGGATACAGAGTGGTTGAGCAAGAATAAGGATGAATTTTACCCGTCTTTTCACTGGCCGATGCTTTCGCTCAATGGTTGCTAAAGTCGACATGGTTTATAAATTCCGCGGACTGCCTGCTGCCCCGAATCGACAAGACTTACTTATGTTCACTTGAAGCCTTCACTTTGATTCTTGATACCGTTAGCAATGTCCGTTTCAGCGATGGCAGATGTCAGCGACGCCCAGAAAAGCCCTGCTCTCGATTTACCCGAGTACACATTGAAGGAAGTTGCACTGCATAACCGCAAGGACGACAATTGGATAGTGATTCACGGACAAGGTAAGTCGCATGACCTCAGGATAGCACAGAATTTGAACAAGAAGCCTTCATTTGCTGAGGCTTGACAGTGTACGATGTGACAAAATACCAACAAGATCATCCCGGCGGCGCAGATGTTCTGGTTGAAGTTGCCGGCTCAGATGCGACAGAAGCATTTGAAGACATCGGTCATTCAGAAGATTCGCGCGAGATTCTGCAAGAATATCTGATCGGAACCCTTCAGGGCGGGAAAGAATATGTCCCTCCGAAGAAAGTTCGCGTCATCGCTCAGAGCTCCGTTGAGACTCCTTCTTCATCAGCAACCCGATACGTAGGAACCGTCACCAGTCTTCTGGGAGCAGTCGCCTCCTTGATCTATGTCTACCGTCGCGGTTCTCTGCACGGACTTGACACCACGTGGTCGCTTCGCGGATATCTCTCTCAGCATTTAAGCGGGCTAAGGCTGCCGCAGGGAGGCTTCGCCAATGGATTCATCGCAGCTGCTCTGATATGTGCGGCAGCCGGAGGTGTTATCGCACGTCAAGCCGCCAAACTCACCAAGATCGAGTCGGGATTCCTGCAGTATCCGCCGCATATCAAGGCACGTAAGGTGCCCAGGGCTGACCCGCACTTGCTTAAAGGGTTCCTTGACCCGAAGGAGTTTCAGCGCCTGCCTCTGATCCAGAAAGATCAGTTATCTTCAAACGTATACCGCTTCGTGTTTGGGTTACCTGATAGCAACGGAGTGATTGGTCTTCCCATCGGTCAGCACGTCGCCATTCGCGCTGTTATCGACGGTGCCGCCGTGAGCCGGTCGTATACACCCATTTCGAACAACCTAGACCGAGGAAGACTGGAATTAGTCGTGAAATGCTATCCGGACGGCATGCTCAGTGGAAAGTACCTAGCGAGCCTGCAAGTGGGTGACGAGGTCGAATTCAGAGGCCCCAAAGGAGCGATGCGCTACAAACCAGGGTTCTGCAAGAAGCTAGGAATGGTAGCCGGGGGAACAGGAATCACACCTATGTTCCAGCTGATTCGTGCTATCTGCGAGGACGAACGTGACACGACAGAGATTAGCCTTATCTACGCCAATAGAACCGAGGCAGACATCTTACTGCGGGATGAACTCGAGCAGTTTGCACGCAAATACCCCAAGAATTTCAGGCTGTGGTACATGGTTGACACTGCCCCGGAGAATTGGGCGTATGGAAGCGGATTTGTCAACCAGGAGGTCCTCAGTGAGCGGCTATTCGCGCCTTCGCCTGACACCAAGGTTCTCCTCTGCGGGCCTCCGGGCATGGTGAGCGCTACCAAGAAGACGCTGGCTGCGATGGGATTCCAGAAGCCAGGACCAGTTTCTAAGATGGCCGACCAGATTTTCTGCTTCTAATCTAATATTCTCACTGGCAAGGAGAGGCGTATTGTATCATAAGTGGCATGTACTTGCAGTTGTTCCTCTCGTGATGCGTCAAAGTAGTCTAGTCGGTTTCCGTTCCAGTACAACAACAAAGTAATAGAGTGTCTCTGGTAGACTCATCGGCCTTGCTTTGCGCATGTTGAAATGAACTGATACTGCGTTGTGCCAGACTAGAGGATGCGGTCGATGCGATTCACATGTTCATAACCTCATCTCGGTTGGAGCCGGTGCAAGCATGGCAATGCCCGGGGAAGGCCGCTGAAAGAACATAATGATTACCGAAAGTAGAAGATTCTCTTCCCAAGGACATAATAGATGGGTATCATGGGCTACTGCTAGCTGTATGTATCTATTCAAAGCAAAAACGCAAAACCAGCAAGTACGAGTAAAACGGCAACAGCACGATTGACCCCCGTCCCGACAGGCAAGTTTCGGTCACCCCAGCTACTCTTGACCAGTGTTCCACCCGCAGCACCGGGGCTATATCTTGAGGTGCGGCGGTCAGGGTGGATCGGTCTCGCAGTTGCATTGAATGGGACCGCTTTGGGTGGAAGATCATACTGATTGGCAGGAAGGATCCTCACCTCGCCGGTTACATCAACGTAGAGATACGCCGCCTGAAAGAAAGGACGACCGAGGACGATCTCTCCGGTATTTTGCTCGAAGCTGCACCGGTTGCTGCTGTCGGTCAGGTTCCCGGGGACCCCAATCAAAATCGAACTAGAGACACTTCCGACTCTGTTCGGGAACATGTTGATTTCCAGCGTGATGTTGCGGCCGCACCAGTCTCGTGGCAGGATCAGCGTGTCGCTGGTCAGATCCAGCCGGGCAGGGTACACGATGCTGGGTTCAGACTCGTCAGAGATCGAGAAGGGGCCGGACCGTTTCACTTTGGCAATGATGCTTGTGTTGGTGCCACTCGGGCTAGGATTATACTTCCAGACGCGTAAAATGACGGCAGAGAGGGTCTGCTTGCCGGTCTGCAGAAAGGTACCATTGTTGTTCATGGTCTCAGCGATGGAGATCCAGGATGTCGCGTCGTCGGTGAGACGATTGGCGTCGTAGAGCCCGCCTAGTGCAAGTGAACCATTCCATTCGCCTCTATGGCCTAGGTTTAAGCCAAAAGGGACTGTCCTGATGGGAGTATTCTCATCGATACCGCTGGTTGTGACTGTCATATGAGAGTCGTTCCCCAGGTTGAGTATGTGATGGTCGTTCCGGAATACAGAGAGATTGACATGGTTGCCGTTGAGGTCCCCTATGAACTGTGCGGCCGTCAAAGGGTACTGTGTTCGGTTCAGTGGTTGTGTACCATTCTTCTCACCCTCTTTGTCGCTGTCACCTTGGCCAATAGATATGGTATAGGCATTCACAGTGCCATTTCCACTCGTAACATTGGCACCCCAAGGTGTTGTAACATCTTCGGACAGACCGACCAACGGGACCACCCAACGGTCGGGGCTCGTGATCGAGACGGACGTAGGAGTGGATGGTGGATAATAGATTTTAGTGGCTGGAAGGATCACTGTCGTGGTTGCTGTTGGTTCATCATGCGCTGTACTTCGAGCCGGACTTGCGAGGATTTGCAAGAGACAGAGCAAAGCAGATTTGGTGGTGAGAGGATGCTGGCTCTTCCAAAAGCTTCGCGTCATATTGTCATCTGAACGAATCGCAATCTTTTAGACCTCGTCAGTACCACTAAGACAGCCAAATAAAAGCGAGAACAAATAGCAAGAAATAAGATCACAAACCAGAATGTCTCGATACGCCCATTGTTATAATCGAAGACAGTAAGGACAAACACAGCCTCGAGGCAGACCTAAGGCAGCACTGATCAGTTATAAATGAGTCCGAAACCGACATTACTCCATGACCGAATCCCCTATTATGGATCTCGCGACAGAAGAATCTGAATTGTTGGCCTCCGCTTGGCTGATGATCAGCGTTATGGTGGATAGACGGCCCCAGTTCTAGTTTATTGGCATGAAGAAGTTCGTCAGTCATTTGCCAATGACTTTTGCTCCTAATAATAATGGCCTTGTAAACATGAACCTCTTATCTTCGATCTCTAAGGAGTTCTCTTAATGACTATAACGCATGCACACAGCCCTGAGCGTGAGAGATGCTTAGATGGGGCCAGAAACACAGCAGATTAATAAGGCAAGGAACACATGGACGATCGCTGTTTCGTGTTAATTATTACTATAGCAGGAAATTTACTAGCCGACTATCAATCATCATCTAAAATGCTCTGTAGTGCAGTAAATGCATTCAGTTTTCTGAGACTTATTTTGTACTGGATTTTGTAGTCTGCAATGGGGGATATAGATATCCGCAAACCTGTCATATCAGGATTTCTGCATATACTTATGAATACGAAAATGTTATCTCATTTTACTTTCCATCTATGACTTACACTCATCTTGGTTTCATGGACTTATGATAGGCTACGTAGGTACAGCTGAGGGAGAACTTGAAGCGATAGCCTCTATACGATGACTAGGTATTCTCTGTGCCTGGTATTTCTGATGTACGAAGTTGGACCCGTGCCCGTCTTCTTAGTTGCCAAGAGTAACACTGGAGGAACGTCACAAAACATTTGGCTGTGATGAGCAGCTAAGAGTGTGCATACTCTTATCTTCAAGTACTCAAGTCCATTCTAATATTTAGTCTGTCGAGGCAATAGAGATTAGTGAGGATGAGGATGGACCCTGCAGGGCTGAATGAATTTAGTTCCATGATCCCAAGGCCAAGAGAAGGCGCGTGAAAGTGCAACAAATCGACAGACAACTAAAATCATTATCAATCTCTCAAACAAGGTGTAACAGTAGGATTATGATGTTGTATAATTTTACAGTAGTCGACACTTGCTTCAGACCCTGGTCGAAAGGAAATTAGACCAGGGCGCCAAGTACCTCCCCCTCACAAATTCCTCAATGTGATTGAAGAGTCACGGGAGACTAGGAATCTCATGGGATTAGCTTGTCGCTTCGCGCTATCAATGATTAATCGCTCGGCAGAACTTGAAATTGCCGAGTCCTGCTGTACCTTGTGGAGACTCCTCTCAGGTCGTGTGGGGATAGTCACAGATAGATACGAGATCTATGCAAGGAACAGATAGCACATTCCTCTCTCGTCTTAGGCCGCTGTTCATGTAGATTGATCAAAGCCATCGAATCCAATCGGACACGCGTGATGCTCTCTTCAGGTTCGTCTTTATCTCTCGAGCGAGCATCAAGCAGGGCCAACTCACCCCGCTCATCTTTGATTGTCACTGTAACCCATGGGGCTGGGGGCTCTCACCTCATAGTGAAATGTTAGTTGCGCTACGCGAATTGAGGATGTGACTGAGTAATGGTGATCGTCCTCCGGATGAGAGAATGAAGTAACAGACATAGCATACTGAAACTGGCTCAATGCAGAATTGAAGGCCTATGTAACCCAGTCATGGTCTAGTGGAGCTTTTCTGTTACAACTTCCATGCAATGCCCCTGGATTCCTTCTGCTACCGAACGTCGCAAGCATTGTTTTGTCGACACTCTCTATGGGACTGAGACACGCAACAGTTGAGATGTAACCTGGAGGGAGTTTCCATCTTCAGCATTCCCGAAGGATTACCCTCACGAACCTGGCGAGGGCAAAAGGTATAAGAACAGCGCAATTGACGGCAAGGTTATGCATCAATCCTCCAAGTGTGTCACAAGCATCCAATCGAAAACAAACGGAAATATCACCTGGCAACGATGATGTTCAGCAAAGTTGTGCTGGGTCTGCTCACTGTCAGCCTGGCAGCTGCTCATATGGAAATGAGTTGGCCTTATCCCCTTCGCAGTCGCTTCGACCCACAGGTGCCTGAGGAAGATATCGACTATTCGATGACCAGCCCTCTGGATAGCGATGGTATCACAGCCCCTTAAGCATAATCAGGCTAGATCCGTGCATGTCTAACAAGTGACAGGCTCTAATTTTCCCTGCAAAGGATACCAGACCAATACTCCCTGGCGCGCAACCGCAGCCTATACCGCTGGTCAGACCTACAACATGACTCTTACCGGCTCCGCAACCCATGGCGGTGGCTCTTGCCAGCTCTCTCTGAGCTACGACAATGGCCGGACATTCAAAGTCATTCAATCCATGGAAGGTGGATGTCCACTCGTGTCGAGGTATAACTTCAAGATACCAGGTGATGTCGCTAACGGCCAAGCCCTGTTTGCCTGGACTTGGTACAATTTGATCGGCAACCGGGAGTTGTACATGAATTGCGCAGATGTGGTTATCAGTGGCGGTACTGGCAGTCCATCCTCTTTTGGGAGTGCCTATCCTGATCTCTTCGTCGCGAATGTTGGTAATGGTTGTTCCACTGTCGAAGGAAGGGAGACGGTCTTTGCCAATCCAGGTAACCAAGTCATTTATGGTGGCAAAGTCACTCCATCAAGTCCTGCATTTCCTATTTGCCATTGAAGATGAGAGTATCGCCGGTTCAGGGTCGAGACCAAAGGAACATGTCATTTGTACATAGTTGAGTTTGATGAATGCGAGGATTCTGTACTCATTTGCATAAGGTACTCTTTGACCAGCTGCATAATAAATTTCCTGTTCTGGGTGTGATTCCAGTCGTATCACTTCGCGGCTGGCGCCAGTCACGGGGTCGGAAACATCACTTCTATTGCTGTCTCCACTGACCACCCTGACGACATTAGATTGATGACGGCACAGCTCTCCGATCAAGGCCTTTTTTCTCAACGGAAGATTAATACCAAGCGGACATCTGATTCGGCAATCCAGAAATCGGTCCTCGGCAAGACGAGTTCCAATGACGTCGGTTCTGCCACAATGGCTTTAATACTGCCCTGAACCTTTCCTGTTTCGGCTCAACAATGCGGTCAAATATTACTCCCACGGCCGAATCTAACCTGATCAGGCATGATGCGTGGAACACGTGCGCGAGTCTCGATAAGCGATCTTCAAACATTGGCCAATCAGCATGGAATAGAAACTCCGCCTGCAATTTGTCTCCACCATGCATCATCTGGCGGAGTATGAGAATTCTCTTTGACCGTTCAGAGGTCGAGCAGCATGATCCAGACCCAGTCTATTGAATTTTCACTCTTTCAGTATCTGCAAGCCAACCGCTAAAATGTTTATGAGAGAGAGCTGTCGACGTCATTTTCTTTTGTGTGATCCGATATCCTGTTATCCCGTTCTAGCAATTCTACGTTGCCACATCGAAAACATATTTGACCAGGACGATGTCCCCAGATATCCGTGACCAATTCGTCGTGACTTCAATCCACCAATCCCGAGACTGTATTCCAAGTTGCTTACCAGACTAAAGCAAGAAACATGCCTAACACAACAAGAAAGATTGTCTGTTTTTCAGGTACGCAAGCTCCAGAAACTCAGCACAAGCTTTGGTCCCTGTCGATCTTATGCCCGTGATCTTTCACTATGACAACGGTAGTAGCGCTGATTGGTTGCTAATTCTATGCTCTTCCCAGACTTTGATGGTACCATATTTATGCAAGACACTGGCCACATTCTCTTCGACAATCTGGGATGCGGCACAAAGCGCCGGCAAATGCTAGATGAACAGATCAAAACCGGCGAGCGGTCATTCCGTGATGTGTCCGAGGAGATGTGGGGATCTCTGCGAGTTCCCTTTGAAGATGGGTTCGAGGTTATGGAGAAGGAACTCGAAATCGACCCTGGATTTCAGGAGTTTCACAAGTTCTGCGTTGCGAACGGCATCGATTTCAACGTCATCAGTGCAGGACTGAAGCCCATCTTGCGCAGAGTGCTGGACACCTTTTTGGGAGAACAGGCGGTAAGTCACACCAACGATCCAACGATTGAATAAAGTCGCTGATCGATCCGTGAAGTCGTCAATCCAGATCGTTGCAAATGACGCCGATATCAAATCGGACGGTTCGGAATGGAAACCGATCTGGAGACATGACACCGAGCTTGGTCATGACAAGGCCCTCTCGGTCCAGGAAGGTCGTGCCGAGGCCGCGAAGTACTGCATTGACGGCCAAATTCCCCTGATAGTTTTCATTGGCGACGGTGTTTCTGATCTTGCTGCTGCCCGTGAAGCCGATGTTCTCTTCGCGCGCAAGGGCCTTCGCCTCGAGGAATATTGCCAGGAAAACAACATTTCGTACATTCCTTTTGAGACATTCGCGGACATCAAGCGGGAGATGGTGTCGATCATGAAAGAAGACCAGGAAAAGACCAAAGGCGAGGGAACTCCAGCTCGGTTCAACCCACGTGCCAACATGTGGAGAAGGGTTTCCAGCAAGCAATCTGTACGTCTAAAGCCCTCCAACACTTTCTACTTATGATATCTGCTAACTGTCTCGACCAGGTTCCTCAATTTATCGCCGCCACTCCTTCGAAGGAAGAGAAGATGTTCCTCTGGCCGGAAAATTTCACGGAGTACCACCCCAGGGAAATTCCGGAGAACGTTCCCGCTTAAGGCTATTATGGGAACTCAATGGAGAGGAGAGACATTGCATGATGCAGGCGTCATGGTAGCAACTGGAAGAAAAAGATCAGAATCATAGATTGGATATCCCATGATGATTTGTATCTAGATTTATATCTTTATGTAGATATGATTTTGAATATACCCAGAGAAAACCAGTCCGATGCAATTTTCATCGCAACATATATCCTGACCTCAAGAGATTATCCAGGTCCAGCAGCTCGCGCATGGCAGTCTGTATCTGAGATCTGGATTGGAAGCAGCAAAAGAGACTCTATCTTGGTGCAGTCTCAGATTAGAAAGAAGTACTATTCTAAGGCTGGAGGATGAAGGATGGCCTCGCAGATAACGTGGCGCCTTTTGCGCGATAGTGCATCTTTAGGCGGCACCGACAGCAGCAGAAACATTGAATAACCGCTCGTGCTTCATGAGGAAACTCAGAACGGCAACGAGGGCTCCGGCCGCGATGACCAGGGCGTATGACTTGCTGATCCCGGAGACGATGGCTTCTAAGACGCGGGTTCGGACATCCGAGCTTAATCTGTCCAGAAGATCACTAGTACCTTGGATCGCTGCCTCAATCTCTTCGCGAGGGACGTTTGGCAGGATGCGAGGGATAGTGGTCAGGCATTCGTTCAGGAAGATTGTGTTGGCAATTGCCATAACGATGGTGATGCCGGCGAACTGGGCCAGGGTGATGAAACCCACGGCTGCAGGGACGTATTTGGGCTCCACGACGGCCTGGGCGACAGCGAAGGATGCTTGGATCCAGAGACCTACACCGAGGCCGAGAATCACTGTGTATCCATATATGCGGCTGGTTGACGTGTTCAGGTCGACAGTGTACATCAAGGCACCACCAGTTAGGGCAAGGAGACCACCTGCCGTGTACCATGGCATGTAGTAGCCAAACTTGGAGAGGAGTGCTCCATTAGTTAGGATGGTGGCGACCATCAGGATGATGAATGGCAGTAGTCGGACGCCTGCATCAAGGGCAGCGTCCCCGCGGGTAAACTGGAAGTAAAGTGGAATCATGTAGATTGGAACGAAAGCAGAGGCACCGGCGGCGGCAGTGGAGGCAAAGAGGACGAGCACGGTGCGAGAGCCGAAAAACTCCACGGGTATGATGCGGCACTCGATTGTGGTGAAGACCAGAAAGACCTGCTGGAAACCCAGGACAATGGACAGCACGCCAGATGCCACAAAGAGACCGATGACCTGCCCCGAGTTCCAGGGGAAGACGACTCCTCCCCATGAGATGGCGAGGATGAAGGTTGTCAAGGCTGCCATCTGTAGTGCCGCTCCAACAATGTCCACCTCGCGAGAACGCTCCTTCAGTGCGACCCCGCGTCGAGGATCCTTGCTCGGCAGCAGAAAGAGATAGACCGGAGCACAGAGGGCGCCAATAAGCAAGTTGATGTAGAAGGCCCAGCGCCAGCCCACGGAAGACTCACTGAATCCTCCTCCAACGACAGGACCGAGAACAATTCCAATCCCCCAGGTCAGACCAGTTCCACCCACGTACAGCGGGCGCTCTGGCAGCGAGGTTGTCATAGCAATGAGCGTCATGACACCAACATACAGGCCTGCGCCTGCCACTCCGCACAAGGCACGTCCGACAATCATCACGTTCATGCTCGGCGCCGCTCCACAGACGGCGGACCCAATCTCGAAAACGGCGATGTTCAGAATGTACGTCCACTTCGCGTTGAATTGGCTGTATACCTTCCCCCAGATCAGGTTCGTAGCGGTGGCGCCCAGAAGGAAGGCCACGCTGAGCCAGGTCAATTTCTCTAGCTCGCCGAGATCTCCGATGATGACGGGCTGGATGTCCGCAACCACGGTATTATCGAGGGCGTAGAAGAAGATTGAGGACAAGATAGACGCCATCACAAGCCACCACTTCCAGCCACTAATGTCGCGGGGAGGAGCCTCCGGCTCATCCCCCGGGGCTTCCTGCTTCTCGTTGTCAGGGGTGGTGCAGGCCGTGGACGAGCAAGAGCTCTCAGCTGCCACGTTGGGCGTCTTCTCATCAGGGACAGCTGCTGACATTGGAAATACGCGTAGTAATGAGGCTCAGGATTAGTGTCGACGAGAATAAGTGGATAATGTATAGAGGGCTCGCGACTCTGGGACTTTATCAGACAACAGTCCCATGAACGACGCCGCATACACCCCGGATATTTGTCAGTGTTGGTAATCGACATTCTTGTTCAGGAGACTGATTTCTAATCGAACATTGCATTTCCTTCCTTGCGTGCTCTCAAAGTCCGTATGGTGCATGTTCGGGATTCACATTTCCCTTTCCGGCTCAGGGCTTCGGAAAATTCCTTCCCTTTTGGGAAATAGAGCCCCCACAGGGTTGGACGACGACCTACTTCGAAGTATCCCAGAACCCTGAATCAGCTACGCCAAAGCACACAGGGAAAGCAATGAGATGGCGATGGGAAACCTGGACGGTTGCCAGTGACTTGATGGATAGAGAGCTACGAACAATCATCGAGTTCGGGCCAGTGTTATTCTCATTCTCATTCTGTCTGCATAATCTATACTTGACTGCTCTGAGTTTCCTTATCAAGCCCTTTCGTTGCGAAAACCATCGTTAACGGTGTCTCAATCGTCACTTTCCCTCCCTCCAATGCAACCTCTAGCTCTTCCCAGAGATCTTGAATCCCCGACTCAGGAACTACCGGAACCCATGTTGCAAGATAACCCTTAAACCACTGGATGCCCTGGATCTCAGCCCAATCTTCGTCGCCTTCCTCCCACACTACCTCCTACCACTCCTGGAATCGGCTCCCCCTGAGTCGCTCGTCTATCCGGTAGTTATCTGGGTCTCCTTGCGCGTTTATGTGCACTCTCCTCACAGACTCCCACTCATCCCTTGGGAATTCCAGGCAGTCTAGCGCGGTATTAATAATTTGAACTGTATGGCCCAGCAGCGGGCCGTTCGCGCGCTTCGAATACTCGTTCCGGATTGATTTCCATGCGTGTTGGGCCCGTGGGTTGCCTATTATGCGAGGTACGGTGTAGTGCGTGAAAACCGCTGTTCCTCCCACTTTCAGCCCCCTCCTGATCTCGCGATGGCCACGGCAAGATCTGTCCACTGGATACACTCGCAAGCCGTGAGCACGTCGACTGTTCCCGACTCCATGGAGCTCTTCTCGCCGCCTTCTTGGAAAAATCAGAATTGGGCCGATGCGGCCAAGGGAGACCGTTCGACCAACAGTTGGCGGGCGAGGCTGACGTAGCCAGGGTTGGGATCCGACACTCTCACGTTTGAGAACCGCGCAGGCAGACTCGCAGAAACGATGCCACCTCCGGCGCCAATATCATGGGCCACCGACCAGGACGCATGGGGCTTCCCAGCGTGGTATGAGTAGATACGGTCGAAGAACGAGGGCGGGTACACTGGGCGGTAGTCGAGGTAATGTTGACTGGTATCAGGCGGCGTTGACTCACGTGCCGGACATTGCCAGAGAGATCTTTCGCGACTACTGCGGTATCCCAGATGAGCAGATCACAGATCAAATCCACCGCGTGAGGGACCAGGCATCGGATATGTGAGTTCTCCGGCCCCCGGTGGCAAGGTTTGACTCACTGTGACTTCTCCAGCTTGCCATTTCCCTGCATCGGCCTCTTCCGACTCCTCGACTTTCCTGCCTATCTTCAACCGGTGTACCCAGAAGTACTCTCGCACATTCACGCAAGTGAAACGTTCTTGGATCTCGGCTGTTGCTTTGGTCAGGACATTCGCAAACTCGCGCACGACGGTGCTCCAGCTGAAAACCTCATTGATGTCGAGACTGAGCCGCGCTTCCTAGATCTCGGCTACCAGCTGTTTAAAGACCAACACCGACTGAAAGCCCAGTTTCTGACAGGGGATGTCCTGGCCGAGGAATTTTCAGTGGCGCGGCAAGATCTATATCATCTTCCTCGGTTAATTTCTGCATCTAATTCGTTCCCCCATCCGATGCTGGTTTCTCAAGTGAGTCGGCGATCAATCGCAGCGTATGTTCGAAGCTCTTAACAACCTCCTGCATGTAGTCTATATTGATCTGCGTGAGGCGGTCACGCGTGGCTGGCTGCGACTCCACCAGGCTCTGACCTCGATTGCGCAAGAGAGACAATAAACAGTTGGCCTGGGCTACCAGATCCATGACGAGCATATGCCGTAGCTTGATTTCGTTGGCGATGGGGACCTCATATTGGCCAACACAAACCTTGATAGCACTAGCCACCAGGCCTCCACTGGCGATGTGCTCGAAGCATGTCCCTGTTTGTTGAAGGACTGCCACAATACAGACGAGGTCTGCGTAGCTGACTTGGCAGCTCGCACACTTGATGAGATCCCGACACGCCCCGAGAACGTTGCCCGTCACCTTGAAGATTCGGTCCAGATGAGGGTGTGGCTTGGCTTGCATCGCGTTGTTGACCTCGGGAACCTGAAGCATGAGATCCGTGCGGCATTGGCAGCTTCCCTGTGGTGGCAGCGGGCTCTGTAGTGGCACGGAGGCGGCCGGCGTGATATTGGGGCTACCATTCTGGTTTGTCGATGGAGACGTCTGTGCCGCCAGTGGTTGGAAGACATGCATATCCTCTGTCGATAGGCTATTTGGGGAGTCAATCGCCTATTTGCAATGTTAGATTATCGGAATTCTCTCGGAAAGAGCGAGCTGCCGGAGGGCCGTCCCCCGGGGGTTACTGTACATTATGGGACAGATCTAGGGAGGACCAGTCAAAGAGATAATTGGACATCTCCTTTGGCCACTCAACCATGGGATTGAGGTCTTGCTCGCGGATCTCCTCGTTGAGACCCAGGGGATATGCAGTATCCATTCCCCAGTCCATGGACATCGGAACCGCTGACGGCTTGGCTATAGACAGCGAGGTATTACCGCTGGCGGTCGACTGACTGCTGGATGTCGTCGAGCTATCGACGTTCTTCGGATGCCCAGGAGAGTCAGTAGATCGAGGACTCGAGGAGCTGGTGGAGGAGGGTGCGGTGTATCTGCAGGGGATTCCCCGACTAGTGCATCGATCACAGGTGCTCTGATTCCCAGTACACTTGACCTTCGCTGTGCGACATGATTCACAGGCGGTGATTGGTCGGCGAACTACTGGCCGTACACCATCAGCCGCAGGGCATTGCCAACTCTGGATAAAGTTGTGAGGGATGTTCTCGTTGCGGAGCTTGCGGCGCTGTGGAGTGGTCATGGTTATGCCGTCGCGGATGACATATATCTGTATACGAGCGGAAGAGCGTGGAAGCATTCTCTGATATAAATATAGGACTGACTGGGCGGGACCCCACACTCAAACGACCCCATCTCGGACTAATCCGAGGCCAAAGTGCTGCAATTTCCTCTATTCCTAATTCTGCTCCCCCGCAAGGCTAAGCCCCTAAAAGCCCAATAGCGACTGCTAGATCTGGCAAATAGAATTCGATCATCTGAGCCATAGTTATGCCACGGTATGCCTAATAGGTCGGAATCCCAAGATACGCAGTAGTGTCTAGTCTGGACCCTCTCAAACAAGTGATGATTAAATACATTGGTGGATCATGCCATTGTCCTGGTAGTCACATGTTTGATCTCCTTGTGGAGGATATCTTCTGTCTTCCATATCGTCGAATAATATCACTTGGGTTTTCGCCCTCCCAGGTACCTAAACTAGGCAGGCGCTTAGAGAAATTTGCGGCACTTCTTGCTTCGAGAATGATGCTGAGTGTTCCGATCTAGCTATTCCATCTCCTTCCTATTTAAGGAATCCATCGGCTCTGTTAGATAACGGGCTACGCCACCTCAGTGGAATGAGAAATGTGTAGAAAGTTATTAGGGGTTCTTTCAGTCAAGCCATAAGTTTCCGACCCTTCTGCTATTAGAAGCCTTGTCATCATCTGCGCCCTCTCCTTTACTCTAAGTATGCTTGCGGAGCCCCACCTAACACCTCATTCTAGCTGTGCTTGTGGGGCAGTTCACAGCGCCTTCTCATGGAAAAATACTTCTCTACACGATGACAGCTTGAACAGGCATACTGGACGGAAGTGTGTACCGGAGCCGTCAGTCTGGTTCAGTACCCTCCTTGTGTCTTTTTTGCTGGCAGAAATCTGGAATTGGATTGGACAAAAGCTTCATCAGGGTACCAGCCGGAATGATGCACTGATTTTAGGCATCACAGTGGTTTGCAAGAGACACAACAAGCGGGAGTATCAATCGTCCGCCGGGTAGAGAAGGAGTGTTTTTGGGCCCTGGACAGACAGAGAGACATTCAAGGCAACAGTCAGCGAATTGCTATTTTCGGTCCAGGTTGGCACCAGGTATATGTGGACAGCACACAAAGGAGGAGTCCGGATACTGCGGCGCTGTCAACTTGCTGGAGAAAAGGTCAATCACCGTGGAGGTAGGGCGATAGTCAGCTTGGCATGGCGCTTGGCCGCATTTTGAGCAGGGGTTGCAAATGAAAGCAGCAGCAGACTTCTTAACAGGACGAGGATCGTAGATAGCTCTTCTCAAGTGATGCAAGCTGGTAATAAGGCCGTGACGGTATTGAGTGCAGCACTGGGTGGTGTCGTGGAGGGATAAAATCGCGCATACCAGGGTCTGAGTGGAGAGACATGAGAGATGGAGAAGGAGAGGCTAATGAGGACATCGTTTCATCGACCAGGGTGCGTCGAAGTTTGGGCCAGTTAGAACACGCGAGAGATATTAGAAAAAGCCCGAACCAACGGCTTCTCTGGCTTGTAGCTCTAATTCGAAGCACTCAGTTTGGATGACCCTGTGAATGTCATTTTATTGTACATTGAGAACATCGCTTGCAATCGCTTCTACGGTCCTCTCTTGCCAGAAAAAACTGCAGTCGATGCCACCTGCTCGCTCGGTGCCTTTGCCCATTATGCAATCAAAGTACCCGACGCTGCGGCGGCAATTGCCGGTGTGGACTTCGCATGACAAAAAAATATTCGTCTCACCATTAGGGATACCGGCCATGACGGCCTGGGTCGCTCGACAGGCCAAAGCTCCCTGGCAATGTGGACGCACAACATGAAAAACCTGGGTTTCTTGCGCTACGAGAGCGACAGATACACAGGTACAACAGCACATATTGAAGCTGGAAATCAGGATTGGGAACTATGCAACACTCGCGATGCGATGATCCCGGTTCTCGGTGAAGGAGTACAAACAGAGAGGGTGATGTATGAAACAGAATATTCACAGCTTGGCGGGCGTGAATTTCAACGTCAGCTTCCGGCCCTTAGGTAATGAAATGAAAGCATAATCCTGTTCAATGCCTTCATCATCGACAATGGACGTGGTATAGTTGGTGTAAACTGCAGCCATGACAAGTTTTATCTCTTCAACCGCCAGCAGATTCAGTCAGCTCGCATTTAGGGCTATGCTTCTGCCAGGAAAGGAAGAGAGCAGAAGGGTTCCGTACCTTGCAGTGCAAAATTACTACCCAAACACATTCTGCCACCACTTCCAAATGGCCAGAATAGTCTCCGCATATCGTGAATTTTTCCAGGTTCTGGTTGTAGCCAGCGCTCTGGTAGCCACTCGAAAGGCTGAGGGTAGACCTCGCTAATGCGATGCAGAGTGTATGCGGACGAACTAACTTTGACCCCACTGGGGATGCGATCGTATCCTTCAATTGCTATACCTTCTGGTGTCAAGGGGGTGACCCTTGGTAACGGAGCAGGTGCAGGCGAATGCAATCGAAGGGTTTCTCTGACAATGGCATCCAGCAAAGGGAGAGAGTCTATAGCGGCTGGTGATGGTAGAATTGGGAGGCCCTCATGACTCAACTCCACAAATGGATGTTTCAAAGGTGGCGTTAATGTGAGCAGTTCTTGACGAAGTTCAGCTTGCAGCCGAGGTCGCTTCGAGAGCTCCCACATCATATACACGAAGGTGATCCCTGAGGTCTCGTGCCCAGCAACGAGATGATCGAGAAGTTCTGATGCAAGTGCTAGATCTAGAGCTCGTTCATCCGGATGCTTCTCCAGACTCTGACGGAGCTGACTATACACGACCGCGTTGGTGGCCACCGGCACTTCGTTAGGATGCTCATTGCACTGCATTCTGCGGCAGAGCGACAGACACCAGCTCTCGATGAAGCCCATATACCGCTCTTTCAAGCTCAAGTACTTGAACTTCTCATAATCCACCAGCCATTTCTCCCATCCTGGGAGATCGAAAAGAAAAGTCGTGCTATTGGCCGTGCCAAACAGAAACGCAGACGTAAAATCCATCCCCACAGCCTGGAACAGCGGCAAGACATTGATCGCCTCTCCTTTCTCCGCAACCTTTTGCAAAATAGGGAGTAGCCTCTGCGAAAGAATGATTGACGAAATATTGCGCAGATCCACCGACTCCCGCAGATATGACTTGGAGTAGATCTTGCTCAGCATGCGCTTCTGTCGCGCATGAGGATCGTTGGATAACATGCCCACAAGATTATCCGTAAGGAAATTGACAAAAGCATCGCGGTAGAAGGAATGTTTCTCGAATGCACCAGTATAGATGGTATGCAGCCCCCGGAGTGAATTGACGCTCAGCTCATTGGGTCCCAGGCGCACGACAGGCCCATGCTTGCGATGAAGGTCGTAGATGGTCAGTACCTCCTGCCCAGACCGCCGCTTCCTTTCAATCCAGTAGTCCGAGATAGGTGCTGTGAAATGTGCATTGGGGATCTTTGAAAGGGGTGACAGGAAGTATGGAGCAATTACGAATTTATAGAGAAGCAGCACCAACGAATTGCCGACGGCGACAATGGTGAGGAGAAACATCTTCAATGACGCACGAAGAAAAAGGTACCTATGCAGTGGATTTCAAGTTATCAAGGGATCAACTGCATATTTAAACCTGGCCTGTCCCCTCCATTGTGTAACCCTTAATATGCCGATCATCGGTGAACTGGGAAGCAAGGGACTGTTAGCGTGGCATCACTGCGTACTATGTGGACGCTGTCGACACGAGGCTCGATCGCCAAACTCACGTCGGAATGAAGTCATTTGACCAGTCAATTCACCATCTGCATGAATCAAGTCTGACCTTCCTATTTGAGGTCTGGTAAGTCGAAATGAATGAGGTAGACTAACCATGCGAAGCGGGTAGGACGGAGGAGCAAACAAATGAGGTTGTTGACAAGTCTCAAAATGCAGAAAGAATCACGCGCTAAAGATGTCGGACCAGGCTCAGGAGCCTTGGACTATCAGTGGTAGCGAATGCCATCTGATTCTACATAAGTATCTGGGTATCCTAGGACATTTTTATGTCGTTGACCCCGCTAGCTAAATTGCTACTAACAGTGTGGTATGCTATTGTCAGGTGTCATATTAAGTTGTGCATTATGATAGTATCGTATTACTTACGCAAGAGAAGAAATCCTCTTGTCTGTAGACACTTTGCTCCACATACTCGTCAGAGTGTTAACACAGGAAAAAAAGAAATGCAGTCTGCCCCGTTTTGGAACGACGCCCAAAGTGATAACTCCAAAGCAACATGGCAATGGTATCATTGCAAGCACCATTATTTTCCGAGACGTGAAGCGAAACTAGTTCGACCAGATGCTTATCAGTTCCGGCTGCAAGAGCCCCTTAAACTTCCCCCGTACCCAGCCTCAGTAATATGCCTGCTGCGCGGATTCAGGATGTTGACTGTATGTTTGCTGACGTCTACTCGGCGATGAGGCCGCGCTTCTCCTTGCGTCCCATGAAACTGAAATACCAGGTGGGCTCGCCGTGCGAGATGCGGCAGCACCTGTCATAAGATTCCTTCCATTCGTTGTGAAGCCAATAGTCTTGGTCTTTATTTCCCTCGACCCGAAGATCCTTTGTACGATCCATGCAGTCAAGGCATAGACCATCAAAATAGCTGGAAACCCGCCCGATGGCCTTTTGAACGATGGTGCCCCCGTCGAGCCAGCACACAGAACACCGTCTTTGACGTGATTGATTAAGCGAAGTATCATTTGAAGAGGGACCATGAGAACGAACGTTTGTCCCATCGTATTGTCGCAACCGGTCAAGCATTCCCGCAACACTTGCTTTAGTGCTGCTCAGGTCCAGCGGCGAGACGCCAATGCGTCGAAGTTCCTTAAGAAAATCAAAAACGGTCTGCTCTTTGCATGCGCATGTTGCGCGGTCGCTAATCTCATTGACGCGGTTGAACAAAGCCTGGTGTAGCATCGTGCGCAGGCGACCTTTCGCGGCATTCAATTGTTCTGCGAGTATACTTTGATCAGCAGGGCGACTTCAATCTTGATCTGACACGATTGCGCAGGATGAACCACAGGGCACACACTGCTAGAGACTTACGGATAATTCGAGGGCGCAGGTGCATCTGCAGATGATGCGTGGGGTTAAATTCCATGATATGCCGCGGCTCGTTATAAGTCATGAATCTAGTTAACTCCTGAAAACCCTCAGCGTAATTGAAGGCGTAGCAAGGGAAGAGCAATTGCGGCGCAAATTCCTCCAAGAACGCCTTCTTTCCACTCGCATTCCTCATCTCCTTATACCAAGCGACGAACCATATTTGTAGTTCTAGGAGATCGAAGCCGTACTTGTCCCCAGCCATGATAGCGTGCCAAACTTCTTCGACAGAGAGAGATTGCTTGGGCAAAGCGTCGGTTGTGGAGTGCAACACACGGAGCCAGAGCTCCATACTTCGAACAGTCTCTTCATTCAGGATGATACTGTCCTCTTTGGGCCCGTGTGCCCAGCGGCCGTCAACATGGTTTTGAAATACTGACTGCATCCCACGAGAATACCCTTTTGGACCTTGAGGGACGCTGTTCGCACAAGGCCCTTGGCCCCTGCCTCGTCAGCATCGTCACGTTCGTCTTGCTTGATCGCTGGGTCGAACTCGTTAATGCGGATAGTGAAGTCACCGGCGTCTGAAACTTCAATGTCTTCATGTGGCACTCGCGCGGTTTTCAACGGGACAGCCATAATCTCTGACTGCAATTGTAAGCCTTTGATGCTCTTTCTAATGTCACGCTATCACTCATTGTTGCTGAGGGGGCATTTATGAGCCAGAGATCTGGGGCTTCTCTATCGAACTCACCAGAGCAAACAGCAACCTGAAGTCGACTGACAGGTGACTATCAAATCTACGTGTTATGGAGGTTGGTTGACACTTGAAAGCAGGTGAAGATAAGAAGTTGTCGAAGTACAAGAACTTCAATTGAGTGGAGAGAATATGTTGGCAAAGATCAGGAGGCTGAAATCAAGTGAGGAGAAGATGTTGTCGAAGATCAAAAGGCAAACAAATAGGAGGGCTCCGAAGTGTTTGTCCATCGTATCCTAGCAAAGCAAACAAATATCTGTGGGGTCTGCATCAGTGTGCCTTGTGTGCCATCCCAGCTTGAAACTAGCAATGACCTTAAGGTCCAAATGCATTGAGAGGCATAATGAACAGATTCTGGGTTGAGAACCTGTCAAATCAGTGATCACTGAGAGAAATCTGAGGCCAGAAAGAGACAGACACCACCCCTGACTGGAACCCAGTTTCTTGATCTCTAGATAGCCCGCCCATGAGACACACGGTCTTCTTGTCAAGAGCTTATATATCTAATTGCATGCAGGACGGAAAGGCCTTGGGTTTTAACCTGATGTCCTGACAGAACCATTTGCATATCAGGAGGAGCTGTGCTAAAATAATCCTAGATACAGCTCAAACGAGAGCGCGTCCAAGGGGAATAGTGACTGCGGACACCTTCCTTTTCMCAAGTAGAGCAAGAAATCTCCTGCAAGAGCTCTCTTATTGACATATTAAAAGAAGTTGACGATCACGACAGTTGCCACTACCAGTCGGCAATATAGTGGTTGACAGGAAACTCAATAATAAATGAATCAAGATACCGGGTCAGGTGGGGATCGAACTGGAGTTAGTGTTGAATCACGTGCAACTCCATTAGTAAGGAACTCTGCAACACCGTCCTCTCTTCCCGTTCTCTCTTCCCATTCTCGCCCGAGTCATGCATGGAAGAGTGGACCGTAATCCTCCACAGGGCCGATGGGTCAATGTCGCTAATTCTGGGCCAATGATTCGCACTGGAAAAAGGGAAACGATGCAATGAATCTGGGCCAGGCCCGGCATTTCTCAATTTCGGACAGTGATGGTGTGTCCATCCTGCAGTTCATATGCACCTACCCGTACAGATTCAACTATCGTCGTCGCAATACTCAATGAGACGGCGATCATATGAAATACTATCAAAGATGATGTCGATCTGATTTGAATTATCGCCTAGGTACTGTCTAATATGTAGCCGCCACGGTTGACTGAATTGCAATCCCAATCGCTCTGGAAACCGCTGGTCAAAATATCGTGGCCAAACATGTCCTGCTTAAGTATCTCGCAACTATGGATTCAGCAGACACCAACAGTAGTTCGCAGGAGCCAGTCAATCAGCTCCCAAGGCCCTCGAGCTCCAGCGGGCAACAACTATCTGTCATATTACGCAGGAAACCTGCAACGCTTTCGCCTGCGACTAAGCTTCCGATTCCGCGATCGGGCTCTACCCCAATCAGCCGGCAGCGCACACCGCGCGCGTGTGAAGTATGTCGTGAGCGCAAAACCAAGTGTGACGGCTCAAAGCCGATTTGCAAACAGTGTCGGGTACTGAAAATTGCCTGTGCTTATTCTGGTTCCAAACACGAAAAACAGCAGCTTGCGATTGAATGTGCCCGAGTGAAGATCAAGGTTTACGAATCAGTCCTGCGACGCATCTACGAAGAATGCCGGAATGAAGGTCGCACCTCCATCGAGGAGACATTCCATGTCAGTCTCTCTACTAGTCCATATCGCGTACTTTCCTGTTGTCCCGTGTCTAGCCGTGCTAAACTCGTGGCAGAGACACTTTCGAGCTTCACCAGAAATATTCTCTTCGTTCCTGAGCTCGCAGTCGCCGTTTGAGCAACAGCCTTCTCCGCCAAAGCCAGGACTGTCTTTGCATCGCATGCATATGGCATGGGCGAGGAAGAATGGCAATAGAACGCCGCACTTATGCCAAGAACCACAAATCTGGATCAAGGGCATTCGCGCTTGGACGTCTCTTGTGGACGATGAGGTTGCAAGTCATCTTCTTTCGCTGTATTTTGCGTGGGAAAATCCGATATGGCAACTTGTTGATCAGCATCTGTTTCTCAGGGACCTAGCAAGTGGTTCCAAGAGATTCTGCTCTCCGCTGTTGGTCCATGCCCTTCTCTTTTTTGGCTGCGTAATGTCAATCCCTCCATCGTCGTATCCGTTGACTGACTTTGATGCAGAGCTACTCCTACAATTTGGACCGGATAACCGATCGACAAGAGGAAAAGTCACTTGGCAAAAGGCTATACGCTGAGATCCAGCACCTCTGGCAAACCGAGAAGGGCCAGCTGAACCTTCCGATTGCGCAGTCCAGTATCTTGATTGGTCTCCTTTTTTGTACTCTGGGCATCGATAGACTCGGAACGAAATACATTCTTCACGGTGCAGAAGTATGCCACAAACTAGACCTACACTGCAAGTCACCGGCGTATCTCTACAGCAATGCGGACCGGGATGAGCTAGGCCCAATATCCAGGTGCCATAAACTGGTCGCTTGGGCCGTATTCGACGTGCAAGCGTGAGATATTCCCGACCTCGTTCAATGCCTCACTAGCTCGGACTAATGTGCCTGTAGGCTAGCTGCGCAGGTTTATAGGAAGATGCCAGTGTGGGAACACCCGCCAGCTGTATGCTTCTCCCTAGACGAGGCGGCAGTACTGGATGAAGGCACCGAGTGGAGCCCCTACCCCTTCAGATTTCCCGTTCAACAGCCTTTTTACTACACTGCCGCCTGCTACCGTAGCGCCCTCGTGATGATTGTTCATGAGATTGCTATAGCGGGCATTAGATTTTCGAAAACCGGCATTTCAAGGGACGATTGGCAGTACGCCCGTCAGCTACATCAAAAGTTATGCGATTGGATGAGAAGCCTGCCATCATGTGCGATGCCCCAATCCAACACAACCCCACATATCCTGTGTTTGCAGTGAGTTCTTCAGCCACATTTCTGATCTCTAAAAAGTGGTACTAATAGCCGCTAATAGTTTGTACTTCCAAGCCACTCTTGTATTTCTAGGCGATATGTTTATTCTATATTCGAAGGCGACACGCAATGATGAATCAAATCTGGCATGGTTCGATCCCTGGACTGTGAAGTCTCGAGCCCTGGACGCTGTCGGGTCTCTCATCCTGCGGTACAAACAACATCACGGGTGGAAGTCAATTCCTATTGTGTTCCTTCACTATTTCTGCCTGGCCGGGGTTCATGCAATCTCGCAGATAAAACCTCAGGAGCCGAAATGGAGTCTTATCTTGGAGAGCTGTGTGGTTGGTCTCTGGCATATGAGTCTTGGTTGGGGCAGGCTGTGCACAGCGTTTCTCCGGACGATTGAGCTTGTACTCAAGGCGAGCAAACCCGGCGAGTCCCTCATACCCACGAAGGTGGCCGTGATTTTTGAACAACTGGATACTACTCTTTGGTCTGCCACAGATATTTCCTCTCTGTCTGCAGACTATGTTGTGCATCATGTTCCAACTCGAACTATAGAGTCTGCCGCAGGATCCGAATTCAAGGCCGAAGGGCTAGAAAACCTGATCCGTAGCATGGATCATCTTTCTATAGGCTGATCGATGTCGACGTCATGATCTGGGACCCGCTTTCCATTGCTTCGGGCGTATCTCTGCTCGTACAATGGTCGAGGTTGTCTTGCCGCTGCTATCACTTGCTTCGTTGAGGTTGGTGTCCAGAGCTGCAGATGCGTCGCATGGCATCAACTGCCTGACCTTTCAGAGGGCCCATTTGTGAATGGACTATACAACATCGAAAATGGTCTATTGGAAGGAAATAGTTAGAATTATGCATTCTCATCAAATTGTCCACGACCAATGACTATTTGGCCGGCCAGAGGGAGCCAATCTCCATGGCAGTTCTAACATCAAATATTTACGCGTCTTGGGTATCATTGATCATCATCTGGCATAGTAGCAGGTTCATCACCGGGGTTTATCGGATCCTGCGAAGCGAACGCCTCATGGATCTTCAGCCTTGTAGGCAAAGCTCCACCGTCCCCCTCCCTATCCTTCACACTCAAGCTTTCTTCATTAACCGCTGCGGATGAACATTCGGCCTGGTCTTTATGGATGGCATGTTCGTCCGATACCTGCGCATCCGTCTCAACCTGTCTATCGTTCTGTCGCCAATGAAGAAGTTTCTCTTTCGAATCATCGAGCGTCTCATGCAGGGCTCGCAGTTTGTGCTTCGTCCGAACGTATCCTTCCATGCCTGCAAGGATGGCGTACGATTTCGTGATGGAAACATGGGACATATCCACACCTTGATCCTGCAAGGCGTGAACGAAGGCGCGAAAATTGGCCGACGGCGGACGGTAATGGCCACTGAAATGTAAGTATTTATACCTGTCTTATCTGTTGAGAGTGACGAGAGGAACTTTAATTTACCTCAAAGGTGTTAGACTACGTAGCTGACCGTTCCAGATTTTGATCAAACCTGCCGCCGCCACGCGCGCACCCCGTAGAAATGAGGAATGTTGGAAGGCCCCCTTTTCCTTGATACCGATGTATAGGCGAAATGAAGTGTCCGCGACCTGCGCCACCGTCAGTCATGGATCGCTCTGGGCCCTGGTGATAGGAAAAAGTCGTCTCACAAATAACCACATGTCCTTTCTCTTTGCGGGCTTGCGAGCAAAATGGTCGCGCACCACCGATGGTGTGATATGGGCTAATTTGTGGATCCCTTTTGCTTCCTCATAACCTTGGTTGATTTGTCCGCTGGGAGTATCATCCGCCGAGTCTTCATCGGTCGACGACTGACTTGATATGGAAGACGAGCTTGACGTATACGCAACGAGATCCCCAGCCTCAGAATGACCTCTAAATCGTGGCGCATCCTCATCAATCG